ATCCAAGACCGTGTCATTGATTTATAGACACCCCATTTACATTTGTTATGACATACCATGTCCCAAAAGTCTTAGTGCGGTTTTAAGTTTAGCCTCTTTATTTTCCCTAACACCTAACAGTACATTGTACAGGGCAGGTGTTTAATAAATGCTTGCTGAATGAATGAATGGCTTCTGTTGGGACGTTCCAGCTCAAAAACATGCTCCTATGGACCTATGAACTTTAAATTATCTTTTTTTTTTTTGCTTTTTGGTGAGGCAGTCAGGGTTAAGTGACTTGCCCAAGGTCACACAGCTACTGAGTGTCAAGTGTCTGAGGCTGGATCTGAACTCAGGTCTTCCCGACTCCAAGGCCAGAGCTCTATCCACTATGCCGCCTAGCTGCCCCCCTGAACTTTAAATTAAAACACCCTAAATAACAAAATTTAGGCTGAGTGTGTTCAGTCTGAAAGTATTAGGGAGAGGGAGAGGGAGGTGAAATCAAAATGGTTAAAGGTCATCCCCATCCTCGCTGACATCTATGTAACACAGCAAGGTTTGCAAAGTCCTTCACAAATTATCTGTCTTAAAATCCCCTGATTTCTGATGTTGACATACTCGCCATGTCTAGTTTTGAGTGCCTTAAGTACAGAGAAGAATGTTTCTTTCAAAAGCTAAGATCTTGGGATGGTCTGCTTACCGTATCTGAAAGTTTTCTTGAGGCAGCCAAGGGGTTGGGAAGTCAGGAAGACCCAAGTTGAATTCTGCCTCAGTCACTTACTCTGTGCTCCTGGGCAAGTCGCTTAAATTTCTGTCTGCCTCAGTTTCCCCATATGCAAAATGGGGTTAATCGCATCCCCCTACCCTGACAGGCTTGTTGTGAGGAGCAAAGGATATGGAAAAGTGCTTTGCAAATGTTCAGGTGCTTTATCAAGATTAGCTATTATGATGCTGCTGCTTCTTATGATCCCCAGGTCCGCCGGCCTCCCCACCTCGGCCAGGACTGATGATTACCTCCAGGAATTCTCAACCCTTTGTCCAGTACTAAATCACGTGTGTGAAAGTGGCTTGTTTATCCGACTAAACTGTCAGCTCTTTGAAGCACCTGCACCACTCACAGGGTCAAGTTTGCATCCCCAAGACTCCTCCACGAGAGCCTGTCCTGGTGCCTCAGCATGGCGTGGAAAAGGCACAAACCCCAACAGGTGGCGCCCTGGCAGACAGCCTTCCAGGACAATCCTGGCGACAGTTGGTGTCTGCTTTCCAAGGACCAGCTTAGCTAAGCACTGGAGCTCATTCCCAACAGGCTGGCCACTTGGGGATGAATTCCTCGTCCATGGCAACCAGTGAAACAAAGGAAAATACAAGACACTCTCGGCTCTGCCTGGCCCCCTTCTGGCCTGCCCTGACAGAGGGGGGCAGACGAGGCCAACAATCACTTTTTAGAATGCCTCTAAACATCTACTTAGAATGTACAGGGGCACGTGGAGGAGACTCTAATAAGATGGGTTGACATCTCCATTGTTAGCGATGGTATCAACAGCCCAGGGGCATGGAGAAGAGGGTCAGAATCACAGAAGCTGAACTCAAAGCCAAGTGTGGGACAGTGTACTGCCAGGGGACATGAGTTCAAATCCAGCCTCAGGCTCTTACTACCTGTGTGACCCTGGGCAAGTCACTTAACCCTGTTTGCCCCAGTTTCCTCATCTGTAAAATGAGCTGGAGAAGGGAATGGCATACCACTCCAGTATCTTTGCCAAGAAAACCTGAAAATGGGGTCACAGAGTCAGACGTGACTGAAAAATGACTAAATAAAACAAAAGCTTTCAGTCTAGAATCCTACGATACTACCTACCTCTGTAACTCTAGACAAGGCATGCCAGTCACTGAGCCTCAGTTTCCCCATTTGTAAATGAAGAAGTTGGGCCAGATGGCCTCTGAGGGCCCTAAATCCTATAATCTAATCATACTTGGTTGATAAATAGAATCGACAGGGGGAGGGGGAGAATACCCAACACCTTTGCACAAAGATGAAATCATAATAGCTACCATTCATACAGCATTGACAAAGCACTTTACACATAGATTTTCCATTTTATCTCACATCACATCAACCCTGGGAGCTATCACTATTCCCATTTTACAGTTAAAGAAATTAAGGTAGACAGAGGTTGAGTGACTTGCCCAGGGTCATACAGCTAGCAAGTGTCTGAGGCTGGATTTGAACTCTGTTCAGTCCTGGTGCTCTGTCCTCACTATCCAGCTGCCTCAAAAAAAAATGACTAATGGAATTGAATTGTAACTGGGCTGAAATAAATCAAAAGCCACTCCACCACTCTCCTGGCAGAAAAAAATGTTACTTCCCCTGAGTCAGTGTGCGGCCGAGCTATTTATAAGGCTCTGAGAGCGGATGAGTGTGTGTTTATGTTACCAGTCATGAGGCAAAATTTTCTTTTCCACAAGTAAGGAAAGGTTTCCTTTCTGAAGAGCCAAAACCTGTGTCTCCTGCCCAGACCATTTAATCAGGAGCCTGATGGCCCTCACGAGGGTAGGACAGGCGCCTGTCCATCGCCAGAGAGAGAGGGAAACTGTAACGGCCCACACAGGAACTTAGCTCATCACTCAGGGTTCTTCAGACAGCAGCACTTGGGCAGGAGTATAGTAGAACCAAGTGCCCGGAGGGACTTCTTCATGAAAGAACCTCCTCCAGGAAGCCCACCTGACTGCCCCAACTCACAGTGCTCTTTCTGCCCCTCTTGAGAAATGTGACAGTCCGGGGCAGCTAGGTGGTGCAGTGGAGGGAGCACAGGCTCTTAAGTCAAGAGGACCTGAGGTCAAATCCAGCCTCAGACCAAACACTTGAGCCTTACTAGCTGTGTGACCTGGGCAAGTCATTTAACCCCAATTGCTTAAGAAGAAAAAAAAAAGAAATGTAATAGTCATGGAAGGCTCCCTGTCAGAAGTGAGGCTTGAGCCAGGCCTTGAAGGATGGGCACAATTCTGATTCTCCTGCAATTCCCATGCAGTCTGGACACACACTGACATGTGACAAGCTCTGCTCTAAAACACAAAACTCTCTCCCTCCCAAACAGAAACTGGAAGGATTCTGCTTGTCTCCTTTGGAGGCCTGGTTGCTCCAGCAACAGTTCCCTCTTCAAATGAACTGTGGATTTCATCAGAAGCTGAATCTAAAAGTTTGCTTTTGCCCCCAGTTGTCTGGCTTTAAACCAGTTAATGACCCAGCCCCTAATGATTCCCTCCCCACTGCCCTGAAGGTCAATACCAAAACTTGTGTAACAGCAGAAAATGACTCTCGTATAAGAAAAACAATGCTTTGGCCAAGCCCATGAAGCAACTGTGTTACCACCTTTTAAAAGACAGAATCTGTGGTTTTTTGTTTTTGTTTTAAGTAACTGTCAAAGAAGTTCACAGTTCATACAACCCACTTCCTGGTGTTCCTTGCACATTGCAATGGCTATATTTGTTGATTATTTTTAAGTTCCCAATGAAAAAAGAATCTTTTTTTTTAATGCTTGGATCCCAAAGCATAGTGACAGAGGAAAAACTGAAAGGGTCCGCTTTCCTTGTCAATTTCTGAATGGATCAATCTGGTGCTGCTCTTAGGGAATAAATGAATTTGTAAAGGCAGAAGAAAAAGGAAGTCACTTTTTAAAAGAAAAATCTCTTTTTAACAAGATGCCAAAAAAATGCAAGAGACTGAGTTTTGTTTTGGTTTTTTTTTTTAAAGAAAATGGCAGCTACTTTATTATGGCCTAGTTTCCTTTGCTTTCACATAACCCCAGGCTAAGAATGCTCACTTGTTGGTTTTAAGACAGGACAAGCACCTAGGCTTGGAGCAGTCCAAATTCTCCTCATGCCTTCCCCTTCTATCAAGGCAATCTTCTGAAGCAGTTCCAGGATGTTGACATTCCTTCCATCTGGTGTCTTTCCACCCAATGGTATTTTTATTACTTGCCGAGCAGTCAAAGTCCCTGAGTACCTTTCCACTGCTAAAGAGAGTTGCCTGATTAAAGGTCTTCAGGATCCAACCATCTGGGCTGCCTTTCCTCTAAGGAACACAGGCTGGGAGCAATGTATCCACCCAAAATCCAAGCATCTGCAACTCGGGCTCAGCTCACAGATGCAAAGCTGAAAGAGGCTTGGAAGCTAAGCTAGTCCAATCCCCTCATTTTACACATGAGGAAACTGAGGCCCAGAGGGGACCACACAGATATCATTTTGGATGGGGTCTTAGAGGTCAGCTGGTCCAGTTCCCTCGATTAGACCCCCAATTGGAATGGGAGCTCCTTAAGATCAGAGACTGTCCTGATTTGCTTTTGGTATCCTTTAGTCTTAGAATGGCATTTGGTATGCAGTAGGCATTTAATAGATGTTTTTCATCCATTCATTGACTTGTCCAAGCTCACACAGGCAGTAATGCTGAGTTTATTTGACTAAATTAAGCACTCTTCCTAATCCCCCAAGGAGCAGCTAGGAGGTACAGTAGATAAGAGTTTCAGTCCTGGAGTCAGGAAGACCTGAGTTCAAATCTAGCCTCAGATACTTACTAGCTGTGTGACCCTGGGCAAATCACTTCACCTTGTTTGCCTCAGTTTCCTCATCTGTCAAATGAGCTGGAGAAGGGAATGGCAAACCACTTCACTATCTTTAGCAAGAAAACCCCAAATGGTGTCACAAAAAGTCAGACAACAACCCAATCACGCTGTATTGTCTCCTAATGCGTGTTTTCAGATTGATGTCTAAGGTCTCTTCCAGCTCTAAATCTTTAGTCTCAGGGACTTTGCTGCAAATAATCATTCAGCCTCCATTTGAACTCATCCAAGGCCGCCATTTTGTACCAGCACTAATTACTAGGAAGCTCTCCTTTCCATTGGCCATAAATCTGTTTCTCTACACCTTCCACTCATTACTCCTTGTTCTGACCCCTACGGTCATACAAAACAAAGCTAATTAACCCCTCTTCCATATGATATCCTATACCTGCTTGTCTTTTCTTCCAGGCTGAGCATGGACAGCTCCTTCACTGGTTGCTGAGGTGACCTTCTTCTAAGCACCAGCTCTGGGCATCCTTCTCTGGCTGCCTTCAGGCATCGTCAGTGTCTCTACTGAAATGTGCGCCCGTGGCATCTAATCTGACCCTTAGATCTTCGAGAAGAGTGGACAGTGGGATGATGCAGCCAAAAGAGCTGGAGGCATCTTGGCTTGCATTGAGAGGGATGTGGCTTCCAAGAATAAGGAAATGTTAGTTCCCCTCCCCTCTGGCCTTGTCAGCCAACATCTGGAGTCCTGTGTTCAGTTCTTGGCACCACAGTTTAAGAAGGATATCGATCAGCTGGCAAGTTTCTCAAGGAAGGCAACCAGATTGATAGTGAGAGGCTTTGAGGTCTTGTCATATGGGGAATGTGTGAAGGAAGTGAGCGTGTTTGGGCTGGAAAAGAAAAGATTCAGGGGAAATATGATAATGGTTTTCAAGGATCTGAAGGAGTGAGAAGGGGAAAGAAGGATCCAACTTGTCTGTTCACAGAGGAGCAATGGGTACAAATGGGAAAGAGGCAAATTGAAGCTTGACATCAGGAAAAACCTTGGAATAACTGGAGCTGTTCCAAAACAGAATGGGCTGCCTGAGAGATGGTGAGTTCTCCCTCCTTGGAAACCTTCAAGCAGAAGCTGTATGACCACTCCTTTCATCCCCAGTGACCTTCTTCTACTTCTAAATCTCTATCCTCATGACAGTAGACTTGTATTGAAAGTAATGTGTGGAGGAAGTAAGACCAACAGATTTCATTCCCTTTTGCCAATAGGTAAGGACCTTCTCTTTAGGAAGGTCACACAGCAATATGTTGGGTACCTCCATTACTCTTATCATATAACTCTTACCAATCACAGGATACAGTGCTGGAAGGGACCTTAGAGATTCTCTCACATTTTAGTCATCTAGAGCTATATCTTTGCCCTATTTCCCATGCCTGCAATGTTTTCCCTTGCTTCCACTTACTACTTTTTCTGGCCTCTCTCAAGACTCAGCTCCAATTGGACCTTTTACAGGAAGCCTGTTCCAGTTAATCCTTCCCTGGCTCATCCCCATGAGTGACTTCTTTGAGATAACCTTCCATCTTTGTATCTGGTACGTACATGGTTGTCTCTGCCATTCCAATTTGAGCTTTTTGAGGTCAGTGGGATTTTTTTTCCCTTTCTTCATATCCATTATATAGTAAGAGCTTAATAAATGCTGAGTGCTTGCTTGATTATCTCCTACTAGACTGTAAGCACATAGAACTACACAAAAATTATACAAGAAAGATCTCAACATCACTGATAACCATGATGGTGTGGTTTCTGATCTAGAGCCAGACATCTTGTAAAATGAAGTCAAGTGGACCTTAGGAAGCATTGCTACCAAAAAGGCTAGTGGAAGAAGTGATGAAATTCCAGGTGAGCTATTTAAAATCCTAAAAGATGATGCAGTTAGAATGCTACACTCAATATACCAGCAAATTTGGAAAATACAACAGTGGCCACTTAGGTTGAAAAAGATCAGTTTGCATCCCCATCCTAAAGAAAGGTAATGCCAAAGAATGATCAAATTACTGAATAATTACACTCATTTCACACACCAGCAAGGTTATGCTTAAGATTCTGCAAACTAGGTTTCAGCAATATGGGAACTGAGAACTACTACAAGAAGTCTGGTTTTTGAAGAGGCAGAAGAACTGGAGACCAAATTGCCAACATGCACTGGACTATGGAGAAAGCAAGAGAGTTCCAGAAAAACATCTACTTCTGCTTCATTGATGACATCACAGCTTTTGATTGTGCGGGTCACAATTAAATATGACAAGTCCTTAAAGAGATGAGAGCACTAGATCATCTTACTTGTTTTCTGAGGAGGCTGTATGCCAGCCAGGAAGCAAAAGTTAGAATCAAACATGCAACAACTGGTTGATTTAAGATTGGAAAAGGCTAAGACTGTATATTATCACCTTGTTTATTTAACTTATATTTAACGTCATGCGAAATGCCAGATTAGATTCATCAAAAGCCAGAATTAGGATTGTTGGGAGAAATATCAACAATCTCAGATGTGCAGATGATACCACTCTGAGGACAGAAAGTGAAGAGGGATTAAGAAGCCTCTTGATGAGAGCGAAAGAGGAGGGTATAAAAGCTGGCTTGAAGCTTTACATAAAATAAAAAAAAAAAACCTAAGATCTTAGCAACTGGTCCCATCACTTCCTGGCAAACAGAGGGAGAAGAAATGGAAGGAGTGTCCAATTTTATATCCTTGGGCTCAAAGATCACTGCAGATGGTGACTGTAGCCATGAAGTCAAAAGACACTCCTTAGAAGGAAAGCTGTGGCAAACCTGGACAACATACTGAAAAAGCAGAGCCATCACCTTGCAGACAGACAAAGGTCTGTATATTCAAAGCTATGATTTTTCCAACAGCAAAGCATGGCTGTGAGTTGGATTATAAGGAAAGCTGAGCACCCCAGAATTGATGCTTTTGAATTATGGTGCTAGAAAAGACTTTCGAGATTCCCTCAGACAGCGAGGAGATCAAATCAGTCAATACATAAAGAAATTAATTCAGGCTTATTCACCGGAAGGTCAAATATTGGAGCTGAAGTGTAACTACTTTGGTCACATAATGAGAAGCAGGACTCATTGGAAAAGACCCTGATGTTGGGAGATATTGAAGGCAAGAGGAGAAGTGGACAGCAGAGGATGAGTGTCATGGAAGCAATAAACGTGAGCTTGGACAGACTTCTGGAGGCATTGGAAGACAGAAGGGCCTGGTATGCTATGGTCTATGAGATCATGAAGAGTTGGACATAACTGAACAACAACAATAGACTTTAAGCCACGCAAAGTCAGGGCTTTGTCTTATCCAAATTTTGCATGCCCCTCAATGCCTAGCAAAGTGCTAAGCACACAGTAGGCAACTTAGTTTCTCCAATAGATTAATTTAATTCAATTTGACAAATATCTATTAAAAACCTACTATAGGCAAGTTGGGGCAGCTATGTGGTACAGTGGATAGACCACTGAGCTTGGAATCAGGAAGATTCATCTTCATGCATTCAAACCCAGCCTCAGACACTTACTAGCTGTATGACCTTGGGCAAGTCACTTCACGCTGTTTGTCTCAGTTTCCTCATCTATAAATTGAGCTGGAGAAGGAAGCGGTATGGGGGGTGGAGCCAAGATGGCAGAGTTAGAGAAGGAAGTGGTAAACCACTCCAGTGTCTTTGCCAAGAAAACCCCAAAGTGGGGTCACAACTGAACGACAAACAATAGGCAAGTTGAGATGAAGTACGGTAGAGTGGATAAAGGGTGAGCCTCACAGTCAAGAAGACCCATACCTCTGACTCTTTCTGGCTTTATCACTCTGGGCAAGTCACTTAACCTTGTAGTATCCCAAGCACCTCCCTAAAACTGTAACCAGCAGAGCCGATTCAGCCTATCGGCCATGTCCGACAACGGACACCTTCTTCCACACCTATGTTCCACCAGGCAAGGGGCACATTTTACTAGCAATCTGCTGAAGTCATGATTTAAATCTATTTTTCCAAAACTGACCTCCCACAACTCCCCTGAACAAAACCTCCACTCTAGTCAGACTGATTGCCCACTGTCACCTCCTTTGTTCACCTCATTTTTTCATCATGGAATGTGATATTGAATTCCCTGTATTTGAATTCTGTCCACCCTTCAAGGCCTGGCTCCAGTCTAGCCTCTATGAAGACTTCCTGGAGCACTCTAGTCTATACTGACCTCCTGGTATCATAAACTCATTTGTCTCTAACACTCAGGAAGTCTTCATTATGTCATAGTTGCCTCTTATATGTGTCTGGCCCAGAGTAAGTGCTTAGCACATGATTGTTGATCGATTGATTGATTGATTGATTGATTGATTATAGAAGTGGGAATCATTATTAGTATCACTCTGGAAAACCAAGACAAAAAGTTTCTGGTCAAAGAAATAAGGGCCTGGAAATTGCTGAGAGGTGGGCAGATACCACACTTCCTCAGGTTTTTGTTTTCCCCAAATGGGATGACGACCAGATGGGATTCAGGGATTCCCTAGGGCCCTCTCAAGAAAGATATGAGCTATGAGATTTCGCATATTGGATATCATGGGCTTTCAGAGAGAGGAGGCTGGGGAGGGTCCTGTGAAACATCCCGCTTTGAAGTCAGAGCTCAGGTCCTGAAATGAGAACTGGAGAGATCTGTTTTTATCTCTCCCAGCCGATTCTCAGAACATCAAAGGTTTGACAAAGCCGCTCTCTCCATATCACCAATTACCTTCCTGCTGAGAAGATGGAATTTCTTTTGACTGAGAACAGGGGTCCCACCTCTTGAAGATCATGGGAGAAGATAATTTTTCTCCCACCCCATTACAAAATATATCGGCCAGGCTAGAAAGCTTACTGGAATCCATTTGTATTTACTTAACATTAAGGACAGGGGCCCAGTTATGGCTGCAGCAGAGTTGACAAATTTGGGGATTAACCGCCTACCATCCACTCCCTCCTTCAAGGGGTCAAAAAGATACTGATTGTGGGACCACCCAAGGATGTTGGTCTGGTATGTTGGCCTTCATTTGTCCTGAGAATGGCAGATCTGGAGTTGGAAAGGACCTCAGAGGTCACCCAGCCCAATCCCTTTATTTTACAGATGAGATAACTGAAACCCAGGAAGTTAAGTGACTTGTCCAAGGTCACCCAGGTAGCATACCTCAAAAAGTGGAGTTTGAAGCCAAGCCATCTAATGTTAGACTCAGCGCTCTTTCAACGAGTCCTTATGATGTGCCTGCTATGTGCAGAGTAGCTTAGAATCACTCTTCTGCATGATAATGAGTTGATCTTGGAAAATCTGGGTTCAAGACCAGTCTAAGTCACTTAGCCCCAAAAGGCTCTAGGCAACTCCCCAAGACTGTTAGTTCCAGAAGGTGCTGACCTGCAATGGTAGAGGGACTTCCCTCCTTTGGGAGTCCCCTCTACCAGCGAAATCACAGGTTTTCTTATCACTAGGTGCTGGACAGGAGGGGAACAAAGGCAAAAGTGAGGCTAACACCTGCCCTTAGAGGGCTTATATTCTATGTGCATAAAAGAGAAGTCATTTCAGAACACATACAAATGAAATGCAAAGGAGTTACTTGCAGGGGGGACCAACATCTTGGGGGGGAGGGGTCAGGTTAGGGCTCCTGTTGGCAATGGAAGGCCTTGAGCTAAGCCTTGAAGGGAGTTGGGGCTTTAGAAGGTGGAGGTAAGGAGGAAGAGCATACCAGGAATGGAGAAGCAGGGGAAGGAAGGGTATACCCGGGTCCCAGAGCATGGCCACCCTCCAGTACAACGTTTTGGAAAAGACAGGAGACCAAGGTCTGAGTCCCAGCTCTGAAAACAACAAGTGAAGTGATCCCTTCTCTTGGTTTTTCGGATTTTCCTTAGAAAAAAAGACCAGGAGGTTGAGCCAGACAAGCTCTGTCTGCCCAGCATGGCCACTCAGTATGGTCTTGGTGAAATGCCAGCACCCATAGCACTTTACAGTCCTATGTACTTCATACATCCGAGGGGCTAAAAACACCCAAGTTTCTACCTGGGAGCTCAGCAGAATAATATTTTTAAAATAGTTAACCCAAACGTCACAATTGTAAAGCCCTTTAGAGTTTATAGAGCAATACC